GCCACACTCACGGCCTCTGCCACACTACCACAGTCTCGGTCTGTACCCCATGCAGTCCCTACCACACATACACACACAGCCTACACAAACACCTCCCTACCACACCTACACACACACCTCCCTACCACACCTACACACACACACAGCCTACACAAACACCTCCCTACCACACCTACACACACACCTCCCTACCACACATACACGCACACAGCCTACACAAACACCTCCCTACCACACCTACACACACACACAGTCTACACAAACACCTCCCTACCACACCTACACACACACACAGCCTACACAAACACCTCCCTACCACACCTACACACACACACACACACTTTCAGAAACCTGTGTAAGGAATCCTTCAGAACCTTGTATACCACATATGTAAGACCAATCCTGGAGTATGCAGCCCCAGCATGGAGCCCGTATCTAGTCAAGCACAAGACGAAGCTGGAAAAAGTTCAGAGGTATGCCACTAGGCTAGTCCCAGAACTAAGAGACATGAGTTATGAGGACAGACTACGTGAACTGCACCTCACGTTGTTGGAAAACAGAAGAGCTAGGGGAGATATGATCACCACATACAAAATTCTCGGGGGAATTGACAGGGTACACAAGGATGCATTATTTAACACGAGGGGCACGCGCACAAGGGGACGTGGTTAGTAAATGGAATGCATTAGGAAGGCTGACTCCATACACAGTTTCAAATGTAGATATGACAGAACCCAGTAGGCTCAGGAATCTATATATCAGTTGATTGACGGTTGAGAGGCGGGACCAAAGAGCCAGAGCTCAACCCTCGCAAGCACAACTAGGTGAGTACAATTATGCGAGTACACACACACACACGCGCGCGCTATCCACTCGCGACTGAGTGGATAGCGCTCTGGGGTCGTAGTCCTAAGGACCTGGGTTCGATTCCTGGACGAGAAGGAAGCAGATGGGCAGAGTTTCTTTCATCTTGATTCCTCTGTTCACCTAGCAGTAAATGGGTACCTGGGAGTTAGACGGCTGCTTCCTGTGTGTGTGTACTCACCTAGTTGTGCTTGCGGGGGTTGAGCTCTGCTCTTTCGGCCCGCCTCTCAACTGTCAATCAATCAACTGTTACTAACTACTAACTAATTATTTTTTTCGCATACACACATCCCCCAGAAAGTAGCCCGTAACAGCTGTCTAACTCCCAGGTACCTATTTACTGGTAGGTAACAGGGGCATCAGGGTGAAATAAACTCTGCCTCTTTGTTTCTGGCGGCCCGAGAATCGAACCCCGGTCCACATGACTACGTATCAAGCGTGCTGTCCATTCAGCCACCGGCCTCGATGGCTGTGTGTGTGTGTGTGTGTGTGTGTGTGTGTGTGTGTGTGTGTGTGTGTGTGTGTGTGTGTGTGTGGGTGGGGGGGTGGGTGGGTGGGTGGGGGGTGGGGGGTAGTAGTAGGCATCCGTCATCCCGCGGGGTTATGGGATTATGCCCCCGGGTGACATGGTTGGTGGCGCAGCGCCTGCTGTGGCTGTGCAGGCTAACCCGAGAATGACAGTCACTCGCCAAAGTTCGCCAGTCACAATCATTTTAATTTACAAAGACTCTGCCTTTGCTTTCTTTATTTTAGCCATTGTTTTATTCACTATTATACTTTACCGTTTATTCCATGTGCTTGCCATGTCCTTGCTAGTCTTTCACGCGGTACCTTACCGAAAACTTTAGAGACGTCCGTGTATACTGCGTCTGTTGGAAGTCCTTCGTCTGAATAGCTGCTTACCGTCTCCAAAAATGTGAGCAGTTTTGTAAGGTAGGATTTCTTTTTTAAACAAAACCATATTGTTCTGACTTTAGTAAATTGTGCAGTGAAGGATAGTGAATGATTCCCTCCCTCCCATATTAACATTATTTCCGTGTGCTTACAGAAGTGAACATAGGCTGATTGGTCGGTAGTTCACTAGTGAATTCTTTCTGCCTTTAAGAAGATAGTAGGGGGGATATTTGCATATTTCCATTCTAAAGGGGCTTTTCCCTAGTCCCGAGATTCTCTAAATAAAAGTTTCAGTGGTAGATACAGTTTATAGGCCAGTTCCTTTACGATTTTTAATTCCAGCCGCACCTGGGGCGTATGGTGTTTGCGTATGGTTTATGTATGGTGTTTGACTCCACCACTTCACTCCTTAATTCATTTTCCTTTTTCACTATCTTGAACTAAAGTTCAAGATAGTTAGTGTCAAGTAGAGTTTTTTCAATATCCTTATGACTCTACTAAATATGAATACTAAATGTTACAATCTCTCTAGCTTCCGCCCAACCACTTGAGCTGGGCGGTAGAGCGACGGTTTCGCTTCATGCAGGTCGGCGTTCAATCCACGACCGTCCAAGTGGTTGGGCCACCATTCCTTCCCCCCGTCCCATCCCAAATCCTTATCCTAACCCCTTCCCAGTGCTATATAGTCGTAATGACTTGTAACTTTCCCCCCTGATAGTTCCCCCCCCCCCTAGCTACCACTGCCGTGGCCAACTCCTCCTGGCTACCGTCTACCAGGCATCCCAACAATTAAATCCCAAACATCCCAAATCCCAAACATCAACCCTCAACCTTCCCAACATCCCATAGCGTGTTGGGAAGACTGCGTTATTTGCGCAGTGTAACAATAGCCGGTCGTGTCCCAGCCAGCCTGGCCGGAGCCCAGAGAATAGACGGAGGGCGAAGTCATAGTCCTCAAGTTCCCTTAAGTGCTTGTGTTCCGAGCCCCATGACCTATATTCACCTAGTTGTACTTGCGGGGGAAGAGTTCTGCTCTTTCGGCCCGCCTCTCAACTGTCACTGCCCGAAAATGACCAAGCAGAGAACCCTCC